TAACAACAGACAATAAGATTTTTGTTTTAATTCTTAAAATTCTTTCACATATGAAAAAATAGTATCTTAATTTTTATTTGCAGTAAAAAATAGTAAATATTAGGAAGAGAGTGGTGATATTCCTACAGAATTAAGTCAACTAATTTAAAAATTATTAATCCAAATTTACTGTAACAATTTTAATGCACAGTGGGTGATTGGTTAATGAACATAATCTGTTCCAAGACTTTGCTATCCGAATTGTTTGTTAACCACTTATCGATTTACTATAGGGTTTTATGGGAATTTTGATTAATTCGTTCTGGAGACCCCAAAAATAAAAAATTATATACTTTCTTACTATGTTTATTTATATGTAATAATAAAAATACATACATGCACAGCCTTGCATTTTTATTAGTCATGTTTTTTCTGTTTGTGAAAGTTAAAGAATCTGTCTAATGTCAATTGCTTTTCTCTCTTTTTCAGGATTTTTCAGAAGTAATTAATAGCATTGTAATTGTAGAGATCCCCAAGCCTAATAATTTTACACCTTCAATCCCACATACCTGAACCTGGTTTGGATGCCATTCTAAAACCATTGTTCTGACATCCTACCACTTCTTCAAAAGATCTTTAATGGCAAATGTTGACATTAATCTTCTTTTTCAGAAGAAAACATATCTCACCGAGTTTCTTGGTGTTCTTCATTCAAGAGTTCTTGGCGTTCTTCTGTTGTCAGATCAGTTTCAGGTACTATTATGAGCCCTTTAATGTTCTTTATTTTTCAGATGTGATTTTTGTTACACCTTTAGCTGCTTGAGTCTTCTTGATTATACAGTATCTTTCTTAGATAAGATTGAACTGCGGCCTACTGTAGACCTGTGCAATCCATACTGCTCAGCAACATCTACCTACTCTCTATCTTTGCAATTATACTCTCACCTTTCAAAAATAAAAACCAACACAAAACTTAATGCGTGCCCGACAGTCTTTTATAGTATTCTTTTATAGTGAATACTATAAAAGAATTGTTTCTGTCAGAAAAATAAAAGGATGAAATTACAAGGAGAGTTTCAAAGTTCAGAGGAATACTACAGGATCAGTATATACCGGGTTGAGCGTCAATGTCGACATCTCTGGCGCTCCAAAATGTTTCAAATTGTTGCCTGAAGACAAGGGAAGACCAATCAATATTCATTATTTTACATTGCTTCTTCTTGTGTTTGTTCCGTGAGGTGTTCATTGTCCGAACATAAAAATCTTTCTCGAAAGTGTTTGTTATCCAATTTGTTCGTTAACCAATCACCCACTGTACATGCAGTGAGTTCTTGAAAGAACAAAATATTTAAAATGGTGCTTTCTAGAATTCATCGCATCTTACATGATTAATATTACTAGATGAATAAAACTAAACAATTTATTACTAATTGAAAATACTTCACAATTCTTTGCATTTATATTTAAATTATTAATTATATTAAAAAATGCAATTGGGAATTCTTTTTTTACAGTTTGTAATGTTTTATCATGATATTGGAAAACATATAAGTCTAAAAAAAATACAGCAATGTTTATAAAATAAAATAAATTTTTGAAGTGTTATTCATTTCCTAATACAAAAGTTTAATAAAGAAAGATAACAATATTCAAGAACTAAAATCCCTTCTAAAAATTTTGTGCACATATTCTTTTATGTAGTCACATCTTAGCTACTTTTTAATCTTAAAATAACATTTAAAAGAATGTTCCAGCTTCACTATTATTCGCTTTCAACGTCATTCATTACTGAAAGTATTTTATTTAATGAATAACATAAAATAATGGAAAATTTGAATAATTTGTATCAATCAAATCTAAATACTTATAAAGATTCATTCAAAAATTAACTAATTTAATAATCTGATTATTAATTACAATAAATCTTTGTTCAATAAAAGTGTACAATTTCATCAATGGCAATCATTTTTATAATAAATATGATACAATAAAAAATTTTTAATTCTATTTTATTAATGAGGGTTTTAAACAGATTTTTGGAGTATTGTGTATCCATTATTTGAAAATAATGGGTACACAATAANTCTATATATTAATTAGTGCATAATAAAATGTAGTTATTTTGTATTATGAAAATGTAAATTTTATGTACAGTACTGGTTCTAGATATTGTATTTTATTTTAAAATAATTTTTTTGTTAATAAGTATATGGTTTCTATACATGTATTTATAATAGTTAGTCAAGAAATGTAAATTAACATGAATAATAGTATAATCATTTTAAAATATTTTCTAAGTTGACAGAGGCAAATAGTACAAATATAATGAAATAATACTCTGTGAGCTATATCTATTTCATTAAAAGTACAGTAATTAGTAACTTGACTCTTTTAGTGTAAATAAAGCCAATTTATGATCCTCTTCTTTAAGTCTATTAGGCTAAACTTGTTTTGTTGACATTCTTGTCTTTCCATAAAAATTCATTTTTATAGTATAATTTATCTATAAGAATTTATATTTCTGTTCAATTTATATAAGATTTAAAAAGTTACTACTGTATTTACAATTGGAATATATACATGACAAACAACACGCTTTTTTTTTTTGCTAACTAAATCCTGTCAATTGCAACTCTAAATTTATTCTCTCTTCAGACAAATTAGATAAGTGTTAATTAACAAAATGACTAATATGATGTGTTTTTATCTACGATTTCCTTTATGGTTATTCATTTTGCAGTGTAAAGTTCCTGAAATAGCACATCTATTTTAAAAACTTTGTATTAGAAAATTAACCATAAAATGACTTTTATTTAATTGTATAGTATAAATATAGTGTTTATCAATATTATTTCTGATTATAATTAATTATACTACAGTATAATCAATTTTCATTAAAAAATATGATTTTCTTTCCAGTTATATTTAATGTAACTTCTACATATAAGTGCCGATGGTTTCCATGTTTTGTTGACATAGAGCAGATTCTTTTTTATACTGCCTCATTGGTAAGCAAAGTAACAGTTACTGCCAGCAACAAAGTAAGCTAAGTAGAAAGTAGATACTGTGCTAAATAAATTTCTTGTCATCTACATGCAACCATGTTTATCATTTAAATTCTTATATTCTTTTTAAAACTATTTAAAATGAGGAAAAATTATAGAAAATAATCCAATAAGTATCAAGTTATAAATAGTCATTGATTTCCTTTAAACTTAATAAATAAATCTTATGAAATAATTTATTAATACCAATGTTTACTGGATTTAAATGTAACAGCCGAATAAAAACAGTTAAGTAACAAGACGAAGATTGTTTGGGATGATGTATATCTTCATACAATTGTAATTGAGTCAATAATGAATAAAATTATTGACAGTGAATGGAACATTTTACTCCATTATATATTCAATATTTTATTTGTCCTGTTATATCAAGTATTTGCCTTCATGAATATTCTTTATTTCCTAGATTCATTTATTCAAAATATTAATTATTGACATAATAATAATTTTAGAGCTTTGTAAATAAATGAAAAATGTATTTTAAAAATATTGTTCATTTATTCTAAAACTTTAGTTTGCTTCATTTTTTCCTTAAAAGCACATTGTCTGAAATGTATTATGCGAGTTATGTTATAAAGTTATAATCAAGTTTAAAATTATATATTCAAACGTGTATCACTTGATGATTGATTGATCAAATGAACTACAAGTATGATCCACAGATCATCTTTCCCAATAGAATGACTTTTGACTTTTAATACATAAACTTCTTATAAAGTATATATCTCTCTCAATACAAATGTTTTTCGGGTGATGCTTATGTAGAAAAAATTGATATTTGCCTCAATACAATTCGTTGAACATCAAAATCATGGGAAAAATATATCAAGTATCAACAAATGGAGAGTACATCTTGGATGTACATTGCTGATGCCAAGAGAGGTATCAGCATCATATCATTCATTTTGACCAACACCACCTATAACAGAGAAAGTTTAAACATGCTTTCTTGACATCACTTAATCAATTCTACAATTTATAGAAGTGTCAGAAATATTAAAAATGAGCTACAATTTGTATTGTTGTATATTTTTGCCTGCATTTTTTTAAAATAAAAAGCCTATTTACTTTTCTCTGTAATTTGTACTGTTATATCATAAGTATAATGTTTTCGTATGACATGCTGGTTGTACTATTACTAGTTGGACACATTACTAAATACAAAGCAATTGTTAAACCACACCAACACAGTTAAACTGGTTTAATCAGGAAATGATTTAAGCATTTTGCATCTTAATAAGATAATTTGTTATTTATATAAGAGTACTGTATATTATTTTAGTTACATTTTTTGAAAATTAGGAGATTTGAGTTGATGTAACACATCATAATTTTCTTGCAAAATGACATTTTGGAATGGATTGCTGACATTAAGCAGAGAAAGTCTGTATTGCTATTTGTGTAACAGAACAGTGCAACTTCCATTCTGAAAGCACTAAAAGAAGAACAAAATTACGACTTAAAAGTTTTAGGAGTTATTAATATATTGAATTTAATGTATACTGTAAGTAATAAAACAGGTTTATATAAAAACTTCATTTAGAAAATTCCATTAACTACGGATACTTGACTTTAAAAAATAATTGCTTATGGTACTAAGTCTGTATTCTTTCCTTAGAATAAATAAGTTAACATTATAAAAATCAACAAAATATGGTTTAAAAATATGATTCTTTAATTTATCTGCTAACAAGTATATAAAATAATTGTTAAGCCAGCTATAAAAATATTTGGAAAACAAATTAAAATCTTTAAATATTTATTAAATTAAAATCTTTAAATCCAGTAAAATCTTTAAATATTTATGAAAAAATTTAAGGACTTGTTCCTTCAGACAATATCAGTTCTTTCCATTGTATGTAAAACAAATAAACAATAGAAGCATTAATAAATTAACAAAGTTTTACTTAAAAATTTTGTTCACAATTACATTTAAAAAACTACTATAAAATTTTTAATACTCATGTTTATCACACACAAAATATATTAATGATAATTTTATAATTAATAGGAAATTTAATTTTTGATTTTTTGCTTATTTTGATATGATGATGTATGACAACTTGGCACATATTTTCTAATATGAAAATATATGTAATTACTTTCTTCAAAATTAATGAGGATGCATAATTGAGCATTTAGTAATACAAAATTTTTTTATATAATCATTTATAACAGTATAAAAAAAGAATGTGTTTAACAAATAATGGACTAGTTCAGCTTTCATCTTGGATGGTCTTCAAAGTTTTGAAGGCTTCAATTGTTATGCTGAGTTTTCCTATCACAGTATTTTGATCGTTTGCATCGACAACTATTAAAAAAATGTATTATTTGGAATCTTAAATACTGTTTAAATATTTAATATTAAGTATAAAAAGAATAAAAGTATAATCATGTAAATTAAACTTATTCTACTTTATTATTAATCAAATTTCATATTAAGAAAACAAACTATATTTATCACCTAAAAACTATTAAATTCTAGATTTTTTAAAAAGAAGAATGCATATTAAAGTATAAAATTACTTATAATTTTCCTTTTATTAATATTCACTAGCAAGTAGTAAACATAGCTTTACTTTGTTATATACTGATAAAAATTCAAGTTATATTAATTTTTTGCTTATTAGCATATAGGTAACAACTATTTTAAAAAATTTACAAATATCTTAATCAACAAAATTCAATACCAAAGTGTGCAATATATTGTATTGGTAGTTTGTCATATAAAAAACATTTTTATTATAAGACCATAATTGTTTTTATTAAGAAATAAAGGAGAATTCTTCAACTTACTTAGAATTAAATATAAGAAAAATATAACTGTTAATAGAATTTATAGCCAAATAAACAATAGAGTGTTTTGCTTTATATAAAAACTATTTATTTTGAAATATCATATCCTATTTGATAAAATTAATTTTAATCATCTTAGTTCTGTCAATGATAGAACATAATGTAACAGGAGCAAAATGTTATTTTACTTAATGCTGGCAAAACTGGAAATTTCCAAAAATCGGTTTTCAACAAAATCAACTAGTTTTTAAATATCATATGAACTGGTTTTTAGACCAATTTCAAAATCAATTTAAATTCAATAGAATTAATGTCTTATTATTGTATTTTATTAATAAAAAAATATATAAAAATTTTAAATATGATCCTATTTTTATGCAATAATTTAAAAGATATATATTTTGCATTAATATGTTTCTTTGAGTAATATATTTTTTTCTATATACCGTACTAAATATTTTATGTTTTATAATTGTAAAATGTCTAGTAAAATATATTAAGAACAAACAAGCAATTATTTCTTGTGACATCATCATAATGCCAGGCTACAATTTTTAATCACATTCTTAATTCATTTAAATTTAAAACATGTTCGTAACCTGAAATTAGTAGTGTCTTGTTCCTGTACATCATACTTTTCCTGATAACAATAGGTCACCTATGCAACTCCATCCAGGGGAAAATTTTTTAATTTAATTCATGTGACTTCTTGTCTTGACCAGAAGTTCATATATAGTTAATCGAAGCCTCCTACCCCTAAACTTTCCATATCTGGTCTTGACTTTCATCTATCTAACATCATTCTCAAGATTAAGGAAGGAAAGACAGACGGACAGCAACAGTGGGAATTTATAGGTCTACAATTTTTCAAACTGTAGTCTAATGAAATAAATAAATAAAACATTATTTTAATAGCTAGAACAAATTAATTAATAAGTTATAAAGAATTATCAACTTAGAAATTTTTGTATTATTTGAAAAGAAATATCAATTTTGAAATCAGTATTAATTTTTTTGCCAAAAACAACAGTTTACCATAATCTGATTTGGTTGCCAGCATTAATTTTAATGAAAATATAAATTTTTTAAAATTACATATTGTTTTTCCAGTTACAAGTATAATTTTATTAACATAAATATTCTGCAAGTTAATATAAATCATTTTATTATTATGGAAGTTTACAAATTTTGTCATCCAAAAATTCAATTTTTATTTGTTTCATGGCAAAGCAAATCAAAAATTTATTTGTACTCAGGATCAATGCATGTTAAAAACTTTTAACCCATTATTAAAACTCAGGTTCTGTCAGCTAATTTTAAAAATTTATATAATATAATTACATTAATTACTATCATTAAATTATTATCTATTTGGATGATTTTTACTATCAAAAAAACATCAATTAATAAATAGTAAAACATGAAAAAGTAGCAATGATTTGCATAGAGCACAATAATTTAGATATATTATGTAAAATTTGATATCTTATAAACTTTTTTCCATGAAACATTCAAAAATTATTATTTGCAATAGAAAATAAAAATCTCTAAAAATCATGCAAATAAAAATAAAAATAAAAATCTCTAAAAATCATGCAAATATGGATGCTAAATAAGCAAATACAAACTTTTTATTATTAGCATTTTTATTACACATTTCAAAGAAACAATTTTATATAGTTTATTTCTAATGCAAAGGGATTATTATTATTACTATTTTTTTTAAATCAGTATAAACGTTTGAAGATAACTGTATAAAATTATAAACAATCTATAAAATTTCAAATTAAAAAGAAATATAAATAAGATTTTAACTTTTATGTTTACATCTTAAAAAAATGTCAAAGTAAAGAAAATATACATTTTAAAATTTATTCATTGTTTTTAAGATGGTGCATGTTTAGTATTTATATAGAAAGTTTAGAAACAAAATTTTCTGAATTAAATATTTCTGATGATAAAAAATTTTTAAACATATAAATTGATAGAAAAATTTAAAAAAAATTTTTTAATGAAGATCTGTAATCAACAATATAATGACATTTAAAAGAAAAACTTGAAAATTTGTAACATTCATTCATTATAGTACTACCAACTTGGTATCTTGGTGGCTTGATAGAAATATCTAGCATTCATTTACTTTCTGTACTATTAATTTTTAATATCAATTAACTTTAATAAATCTTAAAATAAAGAAAATGTTATAGCTTATGTACTTTTAAATTTCTCATTTAAAATTAGGATAATGATTAAAAAAAAATGAGATAAATAAATATCTTAGGAAATCTTTGAAATATCTTGGAAAAAGAAACAAATAACAACAGACAATAAGATTTTTGTTTTAATTCTTAAAATTCTTTCACATATGAAAAAATAGTATCTTAATTTTTATTTGCAGTAAAAAATAGTAAATATTAGGAAGAGAGTGGTGATATTCCTACAGAATTAAGTCAACTAATTTAAAAATTATTAATCCAAATTTACTGTAACAATTTTAATGCACAGTGGGTGATTGGTTAATGAACATAATCTGTTCCAAGACTTTGCTATCCGAATTGTTTGTTAACCACTTATCGATTTACTATAGGGTTTTATGGGAATTTTGATTAATTCGTTCTGGAGACCCCAAAAATAAAAAATTATATACTTTCTTACTATGTTTATTTATATGTAATAATAAAAATACATACATGCACAGCCTTGCATTTTTATTAGTCATGTTTTTTCTGTTTGTGAAAGTTAAAGAATCTGTCTAATGTCAATTGCTTTTCTCTCTTTTTCAGGATTTTTCAGAAGTAATTAATAGCATTGTAATTGTAGAGATCCCCAAGCCTAATAATTTTACACCTTCAATCCCACATACCTGAACCTGGTTTGGATGCCATTCTAAAACCATTGTTCTGACATCCTACCACTTCTTCAAAAGATCTTTAATGGCAAATGTTGACATTAATCTTCTTTTTCAGAAGAAAACATATCTCACCGAGTTTCTTGGTGTTCTTCATTCAAGAGTTCTTGGCGTTCTTCTGTTGTCAGATCAGTTTCAGGTACTATTATGAGCCCTTTAATGTTCTTTATTTTTCAGATGTGATTTTTGTTACACCTTTAGCTGCTTGAGTCTTCTTGATTATACAGTATCTTTCTTAGATAAGATTGAACTGCGGCCTACTGTAGACCTGTGCAATCCATACTGCTCAGCAACATCTACCTACTCTCTATCTTTGCAATTATACTCTCACCTTTCAAAAATAAAAACCAACACAAAACTTAATGCGTGCCCGACAGTCTTTTATAGTATTCTTTTATAGTGAATACTATAAAAGAATTGTTTCTGTCAGAAAAATAAAAGGATGAAATTACAAGGAGAGTTTCAAAGTTCAGAGGAATACTACAGGATCAGTATATACCGGGTTGAGCGTCAATGTCGACATCTCTGGCGCTCCAAAATGTTTCAAATTGTTGCCTGAAGACAAGGGAAGACCAATCAATATTCATTATTTTACATTGCTTCTTCTTGTGTTTGTTCCGTGAGGTGTTCATTGTCCGAACATAAAAATCTTTCTCGAAAGTGTTTGTTATCCAATTTGTTCGTTAACCAATCACCCACTGTACATGCAGTGAGTTCTTGAAAGAACAAAATATTTAAAATGGTGCTTTCTAGAATTCATCGCATCTTACATGATTAATATTACTAGATGAATAAAACTAAACAATTTATTACTAATTGAAAATACTTCACAATTCTTTGCATTTATATTTAAATTATTAATTATATTAAAAAATGCAATTGGGAATTCTTTTTTTACAGTTTGTAATGTTTTATCATGATATTGGAAAACATATAAGTCTAAAAAAAATACAGCAATGTTTATAAAATAAAATAAATTTTTGAAGTGTTATTCATTTCCTAATACAAAAGTTTAATAAAGAAAGATAACAATATTCAAGAACTAAAATCCCTTCTAAAAATTTTGTGCACATATTCTTTTATGTAGTCACATCTTAGCTACTTTTTAATCTTAAAATAACATTTAAAAGAATGTTCCAGCTTCACTATTATTCGCTTTCAACGTCATTCATTACTGAAAGTATTTTATTTAATGAATAACATAAAATAATGGAAAATTTGAATAATTTGTATCAATCAAATCTAAATACTTATAAAGATTCATTCAAAAATTAACTAATTTAATAATCTGATTATTAATTACAATAAATCTTTGTTCAATAAAAGTGTACAATTTCATCAATGGCAATCATTTTTATAATAAATATGATACAATAAAAAATTTTTAATTCTATTTTATTAATGAGGGTTTTAAACAGATTTTTGGAGTATTGTGTATCCATTATTTGAAAATAATGGGTACACAATAACATACCTTTAACAAATATAAATATTCCATAAAATGTAAGAGATTTGATCTACCTATTCACATTACTAAGGAAGGATGACCTACTAACAGGATAATGATTAAAATACATTTACAAAAGAAACATCTTTATAGAAACATTCAAATATCTTTACATCTTTTCCTTTCAATAATGTTTCTTGTTTTCACTTTTTCAATTTATATAAATAATTACAGTACAGTACTTACTTTTAATTTCATGGTCAATAAAATCTTCTTCTTTCATTAATATCTATTATTAAAAAATAATTTAATGGATTATTTTTAATCAAAGTAATTTCAAGATTAAATACATACTTCTTTCAAATTAAAAAAAGAATATCCAATATCTTCACAGTCCATATCTTGGCGATCTTCAGGTGGTTCACTTACAACAGTGAACATTAAACTAAAATAAAAAAAATATTAGAATATAAATATTCATGTTTTATTTTAATTCTAGAAGATATCCATTAAGAATATATGAAACCTATTTTCTTCTTCTGTTTCAGACTGTAACATGTTCTTTAACTTTTCACGTTTGTCAGCATGGATGACATCAAAATAAAACACTGAATTAGAAAGCATAGTAATTAAATTATAGTAAAACTTAAAATTTTTTAAAAATTAAAATCAAATTAAAAAATAATTAAAACAAGAATACATTAATGGTAAGTCTACAAAGTTTTTGATTGGTAGTAACAATAAAAAATTTTATCATGAATAATACTTGAATGTAAAATTCTAGATTTTGATATTTATATACTAGAATGAAGGTGAAAATATATAGTTTAATTCCAAACATTTTTCTTATATTTTGATATGTAAAGCTCATTGAGCATCTAATGAAAACTTATATAATAAATGATTTTATACAGTGTTAAATATTTCTGCAATATTTTTATTATTGCAAGATTACATGTTTATTAAGAGAGATTGCTGACTATCAGTTTATATCATTTCACTCCAGCCAAAGGAGGTCAACGTTTGCAATGGAACTCCAGTTAAGATTTTAATGCTGCCAAGTGTTTTAGCAACTGTTTTTTTATTTAGTGTATATTTATTTGATCTATTTTTTAAATAATAATTTCTTACAATTTAAAAAAATTTTTTACAACTAAAATCTCGGTAATAATATATTAAATCTTAGCAAAAACGATATTTTTTATAAAAATTATATTAAAAACACTAGTATAATAAGATGGATATGGAAAATTATATTATTGAAGTTAATTTTAATCTAATTTGTTTGTTTGAGCATTTTATTTGGTATAAAATACAATAAAGTAATTAGAGTTTCAATTCAGAATCAATACATTTTTTTATTATTTTATAAAATAAATGTTTTATGCTATGCGTAACTATTCTTAGTATCTATTTAATTTTGAAATAATAAAATAGAAATACATTTATTATTTTTTGCGTGTGAAAGTAATGTAAATTCATTTATATGTCATTAAGATGCTACAATAATTTACAAATTTTTGAAATTAGAAATTTTCAACTTTAAAAATTTTTAAATGCTATTAACAAGATAATCTGACATGTTTTAGATAAGGAGCAGTTATCACCAGTCCTATGGGAGTACTTTTAATAGAGAATACAGAATAAAATTTATTGCTAACTCACTGCTTTTTTTTTAACAATGAACAAGTGATTGAATGTTTTTAAACATATCAATTAGTGTAACACTTTCTGACTTATATCTTGTTATCTCTAATACTTCACAAAAATCAAAGTCTTCAAAAGATTATTATCCAAATTATATAAATTATAAAAAGAAAAGAAAAGCAAATTATCCAAAGTGGAATCAATGCCAACAAATTTGCTTTTCCAGAAAGTTGTTAAATTTCGAAACAATGTTTCCATGGGGAGAAACCCTTAGCTTTATAAATGCCAAAAAAACTATCTGCCTTGGATATTCAGAACTAGTAACTAATAAACATACTTCTGACACAACCTAAAGATATCATATTACTGTTATGAAAGTTAACAGTAATATGAAAATTAAATTATAAATATTTTTAGTATTGTAATCAAGGCATTAATGAAAGAAATAATATGTGAGAACCTGGGTTAAATAGAAAAAATTTTTGCTTAATTTACAAAAAATATTCTGCTAAAACTATTTTCCTCATGATAGCAGGAACTGATTCCATTTTCCCACAGACTTGCTTCCTTGTCCAATGACGACACATCTCCTTACAGACTGTAGCAGGAACATAACACAAAAAAATCATTATTGGTCTAATTAGTCAACATTGCCTAAAAAGAGCATTGAAATTTAAGAGTAGGACCCCCAAATAAAAGAAAAAGACGACAGACAGTTCATCCGTCATCAAGAGTTGATCGAGATCGAGTGTTCACCCGATTGTGGATAACCATCACTGCTGATACACCATCTTTGTCGCCAATAGCCTGTGACCAAAATCCTATCCGCCAGGGCATCTCCAATGGAATAAACAGACAGTGCAAGAGTGAAAACTCCTCAAAGAACCTACCCACTAAAAACCTATTACAACCTGTCTATCAAGTGAAATCCAACCAACAACTACAGATATTTATCATTGTGTGCCCAGGTGTAAACTATCGCTCTATCTCGCACATAAAGACTCCTAATCTTAGGTGGAATTTAATGTGTAAATAAACGAGTATTTGTTAAGTTACTCTGTAGTTGAGTGCATTTCTTTCAGCCATGCTTTCTCTTGGATCTCCTCCATCTTGAATCTGAATTGCCTACAGATGCGACCACTTGTGCGAAAAATGAAACATTGCCATCATGACTTCTGTGTCCTTCCAGATGTAGCATCTTGGCTTGGTGCCAACCCTTCAGTAACAAATATAAAATTATTTTTTCCTGATATTGCTGGACATTTAGATAGGATTATTTAGTAGTAAACTTATAGTATAATGTTTTTATAAACAATTGATGTAAGCATTTGTTTTTGTTAATACTTTTCAAGTAAAAGTAATGACTTCTGCTAGGATGTACTGTTCAGCAAGAGAGCCCACATTGCAATAAATAATAATAATAAATTTTTTATTTAAGAAATAGATTAATTATGGTATATAGTATGTTATTAAACTGATTTGTGAAGTTTAGACTTCATGCCACAAAACTTTGTATTTTCAACTGAATACTGTAGAGAAGCAAAATCTACAAACAACAGATCATTTAGGATGAAGCAAAGAACTAGCATTGAATGCTACTATTTAGAACTATTACAACACTCAACTTATGATTTATAAATAAAATAATAATCATATACAGTAGTGAAAAATACATAAGTTTTTATATGCTTCAAATAACTAGCTGTAGTTTCTTGATATCTGTATAGAATGCATCATTTAAAGCTTCTTCATTATAAATGAGATTAAATTGTGAATGGATCTAAAGAATTCAGATTCAATAAACAAGTTACATACACTTCAAGGAAACTCAACACTAAGTTTATAAAACATTGTTTTATAAACTTAGTTAATATACAAAGCTAATATTGTTTACAAAGAATTGTTATAAACAGCAGTGAGAATTTTGAAGTGACATGATGTATGTGAAGAATGTTGAATTATCCTGAAGAATTTAAAGAGAATGTTGCATTCCATTATTTCAATACTATTCTCACTGAAGAAACAGTTAAATATTATAATTCTCTTAATGACAAATGATATAATTTTTATAAGTTTCCAAAAAATACAGTAGAGCATCGATTATCCGAATCAATTGGGAACTGGGGTTGTTCGGAAAATCGATATTTCAGATAACCGATTATGTACGAAAAAATATATTAAGTTATCCCATGTTGAAATTTTTCTCCATTGCGTGTCGCTTCGCGTTGAATTTTCGTCAATGTTAAGCCTAACGTAAACTTTTTAAAATAATAATCGTGACTATTATATCGTTAAAAATTATTTCTTTNTTAAATATTTAATATTAAGTATAAAAAGAATAAAAGTATAATCATGTAAATTAAACTTATTCTACTTTATTATTAATCAAATTTCATATTAAGAAAACAAACTATATTTATCACCTAAAAACTATTAAATTCTAGATTTTTTAAAAAGAAGAATGCATATTAAAGTATAAAATTACTTATAATTTTCCTTTTATTAATATTCACTAGCAAGTAGTAAACATAGCTTTACTTTGTTATATACTGATAAAAATTCAAGTTATATTAATTTTTTGCTTATTAGCATATAGGTAACAACTATTTTAAAAAATTTACAAATATCTTAATCAACAAAATTCAATACCAAAGTGTGCAATATATTGTATTGGTAGTTTGTCATATAAAAAACATTTTTATTATAAGACCATAATTGTTTTTATTAAGAAATAAAGGAGAATTCTTCAACTTACTTAGAATTAAATATAAGAAAAATATAACTGTTAATAGAATTTATAGCCAAATAAACAATAGAGTGTTTTGCTTTATATAAAAACTATTTATTTTGAAATATCATATCCTATTTGATAAAATTAATTTTAATCATCTTAGTTCTGTCAATGATAGAACATAATGTAACAGGAGCAAAATGTTATTTTACTTAATGCTGGCAAAACTGGAAATTTCCAAAAATCGGTTTTCAACAAAATCAACTAGTTTTTAAATATCATATGAACTGGTTTTTAGACCAATTTCAAAATCAATTTAAATTGAATTTAATTTTGACACGTACGCTTATTGTCTTTAAGAAGTAAGCTTAGTATACGAGGTCATGAAACTATTATCTGTACACGTTTATTTATTATGGCAATGAAAATTTCAAAATCAATTTAAAGAGAATTTAATTTTGACACGTACGCTTATTGTCTTTAAGAAGTAAGCTTAGTATACGAGGTCATGAAACTATTATCTGGTTATCGTTGTGCGCCATCGATATACACATTACAGTTTTTAGTATAAATGCTTTACGATGAGATATATAGTATATATAAAAGTAATAATAAATATTTTTTCAAGTGCAATATAATTAATGATTCATTATAACACATGACTTTTATATACATATAAATATACTATGTTGCACTTCTTCTACATTAANTCAACTTACTTAGAATTAAATATAAGAAAAATATAACTGTTAATAGAATTTATAGCCAAATAAACAATAGAGTGTTTTGCTTTATATAAAAACTATTTATTTTGAAATATCATATCCTATTTGATAAAATTAATTTTAATCATCTTAGTTCTGTCAATGATAGAACATAATGTAACAGGAGCAAAATGTTATTTTACTTAATGCTGGCAAAACTGGAAATTTCCAAAAATCGGTTTTCAACAAAATCAACTAGTTTTTAAATATCATATGAACTGGTTTTTAGACCAATTTCAAAATCAATTTAAATTCAATAGAATTAATGTCTTATTATTGTATTTTATTAATAAAAAAATATATAAAAATTTTAAATATGATCCTATTTTTATGCAATAATTTAAAAGATATATATTTTGCATTAATATGTTTCTTTGAGTAATATATTTTTTTCTATATACCGTACTAAATATTTTATGTTTTATAATTGTAAAATGTCTAGTAAAATATATTAAGAACAAACAAGCAATTATTTCTTGTGACATCATCATAATGCCAGGCTACAATTTTTAATCACATTCTTAATTCATTTAAATTTAAAACATGTTCGTAACCTGAAATTAGTAGTGTCTTGTTCCTGTACATCATACTTTTCCTGATAACAATAGGTCACCTATGCAACTCCATCCAGGGGAAAATTTTTTAATTTAATTCATGTGACTTCTTGTCTTGACCAGAAGTTCATATATAGTTAATCGAAGCCTCCTACCCCTAAACTTTCCATATCTGGTCTTGACTTTCATCTATCTAACATCATTCTCAAGATTAAGGAAGGAAAGACAGACGGACAGCAACAGTGGGAATTTATAGGTCTACAATTTTTCAAACTGTAGTCTAATGAAATAAATAAATAAAACATTATTTTAATAGCTAGAACAAATTAATTAATAAGTTATAAAGAATTATCAACTTAGAAATTTTTGTATTATTTGAAAAGAAATATCAATTTTGAAATCAGTATTAATTTTTTTGCCAAAAACAACAGTTTACCATAATCTGATTTGGTTGCCAGCATTAATTTTAATGAAAATATAAATTTTTTAAAATTACATATTGTTTTTCCAGTTACAAGTATAATTTTATTAACATAAATATTCTGCAAGTTAATATAAATCATTTTATTATTATGGAAGTTTACAAATTTTGTCATCCAAAAATTCAATTTTTATTTGTTTCATGGCAAAGCAAATCAAAAATTTATTTGTACTCAGGATCAATGCATGTTAAAAACTTTTAACCCATTATTAAAACTCAGGTTCTGTCAGCTAATTTTAAAAATTTATATAATATAATTACATTAATTACTATCATTAAATTATTATCTATTTGGATGATTTTTACTATCAAAAAAACATCAATTAATAAATAGTAAAACATGAAAAAGTAGCAATGATTTGCATAGAGCACAATAATTTAGATATATTATGTAAAATTTGATATCTTATAAACTTTTTTCCATGAAACATTCAAAAATTATTATTTGCAATAGAAAATAAAAATCTCTAAAAATCATGCAAATAAAAATAAAAATAAAAATCTCTAAAAATCATGCAAATATGGATGCTAAATAAGCAAATACAAACTTTTTATTATTAGCATTTTTATTACACATTTCAAAGAAACAATTTTATATAGTTTATTTCTAATGCAAAGGGATTATTATTATTACTATTTTTTTTAAATCAGTATAAACGTTTGAAGATAACTGTATAAAATTATAAACAATCTATAAAATTTCAAATTAAAAAGAAATATAAATAAGATTTTAACTTTTATGTTTACATCTTAAAAAAATGTCAAAGTAAAGAAAATATACATTTTAAAATTTATTCATTGTTTTTAAGATGGTGCATGTTTAGTATTTATATAGAAAGTTTAGAAACAAAATTTTCTGAATTAAATATTTCTGATGATAAAAAATTTTTAAACATATAAATTGATAGAAAAATTTAAAAAAAATTTTTTAATGAAGATCTGTAATCAACAATATAATGACATTTAAAAGAAAAACTTGAAAATTTGTAACATTCATTCATTATAGTACTACCAACTTGGTATCTTGGTGGCTTGATAGAAATATCTAGCATTCATTTACTTTCTGTACTATTAATTTTTAATATCAATTAACTTTAATAAATCTTAAAATAAAGAAAATGTTATAGCTTATGTACTTTTAAATTTCTCATTTAAAATTAGGATAATGATTAAAAAAAAATGAGATAAATAAATATCTTAGGAAATCTTTGAAATATCTTGGAAAAAGAAACAAATAACAACAGACAATAAGATTTTTGTTTTAATTCTTAAAATTCTTTCACATATGAAAAAATAGTATCTTAATTTTTATTTGCAGTAAAAAATAGTAAATATTAGGAAGAGAGTGGTGATATTCCTACAGAATTAAGTCAACTAATTTAAAAATTATTAATCCAAATTTACTGTAACAATTTTAATGCACAGTGGGTGATTGGTTAATGAACATAATCTGTTCCAAGACTTTGCTATCCGAATTGTTTGTTAACCACTTATCGATTTACTATAGGGTTTTATGGGAATTTTGATTAATTCGTTCTGGAGACCCCAAAAATAAAAAATTATATACTTTCTTACTATGTTTATTTATATGTAATAATAAAAATACATACATGCACAGCCTTGCATTTTTATTAGTCATGTTTTTTCTGTTTGTGAAAGTTAAAGAATCTGTCTAATGTCAATTGCTTTTCTCTCTTTTTCAGGATTTTTCAGAAGTAATTAATAGCATTGTAATTGTAGAGATCCCCAAGCCTAATAATTTTACACCTTCAATCCCACATACCTGAACCTGGTTTGGATGCCATTCTAAAACCATTGTTCTGACATCCTACCACTTCTTCAAAAGATCTTTAATGGCAAATGTTGACATTAATCTTCTTTTTCAGAAGAAAACATATCTCACCGAGTTTCTTGGTGTTCTTCATTCAAGAGTTCTTGGCGTTCTTCTGTTGTCAGATCAGTTTCAGGTACTATTATGAGCCCTTTAATGTTCTTTATTTTTCAGATGTGATTTTTGTTACACCTTTAGCTGCTTGAGTCTTCTTGATTATACAGTATCTTTCTTAGATAAGATTGAACTGCGGCCTACTGTAGACCTGTGCAATCCATACTGCTCAGCAACATCTACCTACTCTCTATCTTTGCAATTATACTCTCACCTTTCAAAAATAAAAACCAACACAAAACTTAATGCGTGCCCGACAGTCTTTTATAGTATTCTTTTATAGTGAATACTATAAAAGAATTGTTTCTGTCAGAAAAATAAAAGGATGAAATTACAAGGAGAGTTTCAAAGTTCAGAGGAATACTACAGGATCAGTATATACCGGGTTGAGCGTCAATGTCGACATCTCTGGCGCTCCAAAATGTTTCAAATTGTTGCCTGAAGACAAGGGAAGACCAATCAATATTCATTATTTTACATTGCTTCTTCTTGTGTTTGTTCCGTGAGGTGTTCATTGTCCGAACATAAAAATCTTTCTCGAAAGTGTTTGTTATCCAATTTGTTCGTTAACCAATCACCCACTGTACATGCAGTGAGTTCTTGAAAGAACAAAATATTTAAAATGGTGCTTTCTAGAATTCATCGCATCTTACATGATTAATATTACTAGATGAATAAAACTAAACAATTTATTACTAATTGAAAATACTTCACAATTCTTTGCATTTATATTTAAATTATTAATTATATTAAAAAATGCAATTGGGAATTCTTTTTTTACAGTTTGTAATGTTTTATCATGATATTGGAAAACATATAAGTCTAAAAAAAATACAGCAATGTTTATAAAATAAAATAAATTTTTGAAGTGTTATTCATTTCCTAATACAAAAGTTTAATAAAGAAAGATAACAATATTCAAGAACTAAAATCCCTTCTAAAAATTTTGTGCACATATTCTTTTATGTAGTCACATCTTAGCTACTTTTTAATCTTAAAATAACATTTAAAAGAATGTTCCAGCTTCACTATTATTCGCTTTCAACGTCATTCATTACTGAAAGTATTTTATTTAATGAATAACATAAAATAATGGAAAATTTGAATAATTTGTATCAATCAAATCTAAATACTTATAAAGATTCATTCAAAAATTAACTAATTTAATAATCTGATTATTAATTACAATAAATCTTTGTTCAATAAAAGTGTACAATTTCATCAATGGCAATCATTTTTATAATAAATATGATACAATAAAAAATTTTTAATTCTATTTTATTAATGAGGGTTTTAAACAGATTTTTGGAGTATTGTGTATCCATTATTTGAAAATAATGGGTACACAATAACATACCTTTAACAAATATAAATATTCCATAAAATGTAAGAGATTTGATCTACCTATTCACATTACTAAGGAAGGATGACCTACTAACAGGATAATGATTAAAATACATTTACAAAAGAAACATCTTTATAGAAACATTCAAATATCTTTACATCTTTTCCTTTCAATAATGTTTCTTGTTTTCACTTTTTCAATTTATATAAATAATTACAGTACAGTACTTACTTTTAATTTCATGGTCAATAAAATCTTCTTCTTTCATTAATATCTATTATTAAAAAATAATTTAATGGATTATTTTTAATCAAAGTAATTTCAAGATTAAATACATACTTCTTTCAAATTAAAAAAAGAATATCCAATATCTTCACAGTCCATATCTTGGCGATCTTCAGGTGGTTCACTTACAACAGTGAACATTAAACTAAAATAAAAAAAATATTAGAATATAAATATTCATGTTTTATTTTAATTCTAGAAGATATCCATTAAGAATATATGAAACCTATTTTCTTCTTCTGTTTCAGACTGTAACATGTTCTTTAACTTTTCACGTTTGTCAGCATGGATGACATCAAAATAAAACACTGAATTAGAAAGCATAGTAATTAAATTATAGTAAAACTTAAAATTTTTTAAAAATTAAAATCAAATTAAAAAATAATTAAAACAAGAATACATTAATGGTAAGTCTACAAAGTTTTTGATTGGTAGTAACAATAAAAAATTTTATCATGAATAATACTTGAATGTAAAATTCTAGATTTTGATATTTATATACTAGAATGAAGGTGAAAATATATAGTTTAATTCCAAACATTTTTCTTATATTTTGATATGTAAAGCTCATTGAGCATCTAATGAAAACTTATATAATAAATGATTTTATACAGTGTTAAATATTTCTGCAATATTTTTATTATTGCAAGATTACATGTTTATTAAGAGAGATTGCTGACTATCAGTTTATATCATTTCACTCCAGCCAAAGGAGGTCAACGTTTGCAATGGAACTCCAGTTAAGATTTTAATGCTGCCAAGTGTTTTAGCAACTGTTTTTTTATTTAGTGTATATTTATTTGATCTATTTTTTAAATAATAATTTCTTACAATTTAAAAAAATTTTTTACAACTAAAATCTCGGTAATAATATATTAAATCTTAGCAAAAACGATATTTTTTATAAAAATTATATTAAAAACACTAGTATAATAAGATGGATATGGAAAATTATATTATTGAAGTTAATTTTAATCTAATTTGTTTGTTTGAGCATTTTATTTGGTATAAAATACAATAAAGTAATTAGAGTTTCAATTCAGAATCAATACATTTTTTTATTATTTTATAAAATAAATGTTTTATGCTATGCGTAACTATTCTTAGTATCTATTTAATTTTGAAATAATAAAATAGAAATACATTTATTATTTTTTGCGTGTGAAAGTAATGTAAATTCATTTATATGTCATTAAGATGCTACAATAATTTACAAATTTTTGAAATTAGAAATTTTCAACTTTAAAAATTTTTAAATGCTATTAACAAGATAATCTGACATGTTTTAGATAAGGAGCAGTTATCACCAGTCCTATGGGAGTACTTTTAATAGAGAATACAGAATAAAATTTATTGCTAACTCACTGCTTTTTTTTTAACAATGAACAAGTGATTGAATGTTTTTAAACATATCAATTAGTGTAACACTTTCTGACTTATATCTTGTTATCTCTAATACTTCACAAAAATCAAAGTCTTCAAAAGATTATTATCCAAATTATATAAATTATAAAAAGAAAAGAAAAGCAAATTATCCAAAGTGGAATCAATGCCAACAAATTTGCTTTTCCAGAAAGTTGTTAAATTTCGAAACAATGTTTCCATGGGGAGAAACCCTTAGCTTTATAAATGCCAAAAAAACTATCTGCCTTGGATATTCAGAACTAGTAACTAATAAACATACTTCTGACACAACCTAAAGATATCATATTACTGTTATGAAAGTTAACAGTAATATGAAAATTAAATTATAAATATTTTTAGTATTGTAATCAAGGCATTAATGAAAGAAATAATATGTGAGAACCTGGGTTAAATAGAAAAAATTTTTGCTTAATTTACAAAAAATATTCTGCTAAAACTATTTTCCTCATGATAGCAGGAACTGATTCCATTTTCCCACAGACTTGCTTCCTTGTCCAATGACGACACATCTCCTTACAGACTGTAGCAGGAACATAACACAAAAAAATCATTATTGGTCTAATTAGTCAACATTGCCTAAAAAGAGCATTGAAATTTAAGAGTAGGACCCCCAAATAAAAGAAAAAGACGACAGACAGTTCATCCGTCATCAAGAGTTGATCGAGATCGAGTGTTCACCCGATTGTGGATAACCATCACTGCTGATACACCATCTTTGTCGCCAATAGCCTGTGACCAAAATCCTATCCGCCAGGGCATCTCCAATGGAATAAACAGACAGTGCAAGAGTGAAAACTCCTCAAAGAACCTACCCACTAAAAACCTATTACAACCTGTCTATCAAGTGAAATCCAACCAACAACTACAGATATTTATCATTGTGTGCCCAGGTGTAAACTATCGCTCTATCTCGCACATAAAGACTCCTAATCTTAGGTGGAATTTAATGTGTAAATAAACGAGTATTTGTTAAGTTACTCTGTAGTTGAGTGCATTTCTTTCAGCCATGCTTTCTCTTGGATCTCCTCCATCTTGAATCTGAATTGCCTACAGATGCGACCACTTGTGCGAAAAATGAAACATTGCCATCATGACTTCTGTGTCCTTCCAGATGTAGCATCTTGGCTTGGTGCCAACCCTTCAGTAACAAATATAAAATTATTTTTTCCTGATATTGCTGGACATTTAGATAGGATTATTTAGTAGTAAACTTATAGTATAATGTTTTTATAAACAATTGATGTAAGCATTTGTTTTTGTTAATACTTTTCAAGTAAAAGTAATGACTTCTGCTAGGATGTACTGTTCAGCAAGAGAGCCCACATTGCAATAAATAATAATAATAAATTTTTTATTTAAGAAATAGATTAATTATGGTATATAGTATGTTATTAAACTGATTTGTGAAGTTTAGACTTCATGCCACAAAACTTTGTATTTTCAACTGAATACTGTAGAGAAGCAAAATCTACAAACAACAGATCATTTAGGATGAAGCAAAGAACTAGCATTGAATGCTACTATTTAGAACTATTACAACACTCAACTTATGATTTATAAATAAAATAATAATCATATACAGTAGTGAAAAATACATAAGTTTTTATATGCTTCAAATNTCAAACGAACTATTTTCAATTTGATCAATTTTCTGGAACGTTTACAATCGTTCTATAATCGAACCAATTCGAATTCGAATACAAATTCGAAAATTTTTTAAATCGAAATAGAAAACCACTTTCAACCACTTTCAGCCCCATATCTCCCGCACCCTTATAGCTATCGAGACGCAACCACCATAGTGCACAAATGGAGACTTGGGACTACTACCACATACAAACACCATTCATGTGCGATGTGTAGTTTTGGCTGAAAAGTGAAATATAGGGAAACACACGTCCATTTTTATATATATATAGATTTCTATAAACATAATAAATAATATATAAAGCTAATATTGTTTACAAAGAATTGTTATAAACTACAGAAACTGCAGTGAAAATTTTGAAGTGATAATAAATGCATGAGTTGAGCATTTTATGAGTTAGGGGCAGAACATTTAGTTTTATACACTATATTATATGTTATTGAAATAAACTAGTCAGGCCAATTTTTAAATTCACGTAACAATATTCTAATTTACATTCTACAGATACAGTAAACAATTATATCAAGTAAAGTTGGCATTTAATATGTGACTACAGGTATACCTTGACTTACGTTGTTTCGAGTTATGTCGTTCCAGATTATATGTTGTTTGTCAAAAAAGTATATGGAAAAATAAAAATCAAGTTTAAGTCATTTTATTCAACTTTATGTCTGTCCACCACAAATATTGAAGTTATAATATCACTAGAAAAGCATTTAAAGCACATAAAATCATATTAAAATATATACATTTACAAGTATGTACTGTATTTACAGTACATGCATTCGTAAATTTAGATTACTTTTTTCTGTACTATATTAAAAACTAAAATTTATTTGTTTGTAAGCTTAAAATAGATCCTTATTAACCATATATTATTAAAAATGCATTAATAAATAAAATACAGAACAGGGAATGGTAATTTATAGTTTAGCCTAGTGACAAGTAGATTTGGAGACAAGTAAATTCAACTTGCGTCGCAATTACCGACGTAAGGCGAGATATACCTGTATTTACATTAATTACTTATTATCATCATTCAAACAAACATGCTACTATCAATTGCAATCACCAATATAATTCGATAGATCTATAATTTCATAAATAACAAAATAAGAATATAACATTTATTAGTTTTTTTTTATTAATTAAATAAATTTATTATTAAGCAAATAATCAGCCTTTGACTATTTTCCTTCAGAACTGGAACAATCATTCAATGCCATATAAAATTTTATTAAAATTTCAGAATTTTAAAATTTAATAAATGTATAATTTTAATTTATCCTAATATACTAATGTTCATGAAAATGATATACTAGTCACTGGAATAACTTTTACTCGACTAATTACTGCACCTTTATCAGTAGGATTTTAGAAGAATGTTTTTGACCCATTAAAATGAGTTAAAACATTTTTCTAAAAGCCCACTGACAAAGGTGCAGTAATTAGTCTATTGATGTTTACATATTTTGTTTGCTTTTTTAATTTATATTAAAATGTGATAATGACAGAGATTTAATTATTATTAAAAAAATAATAAGTATAATCATTTTATTTATGAAACATATTTATATATCATTTAAACATTAATAATATAACTAGTGCTCTTTTTTCTAAAATATATGATGACTGAAAATAAAATTTTGTTTTAGGAAAAATGTAACAATATCTAAAAAATTGTTTAACATTACTAATTATTTACTTTTTCTTTATAAATGTATACATTTATACTGTAGTATTTTCCGAATATTTTTCTATATCTCTGTCTGCACTTTTTTCCCTATTTCTTGTTTTAGATGTAGTGTCAGTTGCTAAATTTTTCCCTTTTACAATTCCTTTTTAGTAACTACATTTTTACTTTTCCCATTCAAAATATTACTACTTCTCTACACCTTGTTTCTTGATTTCTTCACAAGAACATATTTGAGACAGACAATTTTCAGATAACACTATCTGTTCATTGAAAGATGGTCTCAACAAAAGCAGGAATCCTTATCCCATTTGCTTTCTACATCAGTTCCAATCAGCCACATTTCTTAGGCCAATAGAGTAGTCCAGTTCATTTTGTTGGTTTCTATCATGCCAGTCACAAGACTTCTCACCTGAATATATAGAGTTGGTTATTGATATTGAGAGGAAAATAGCCCTATTTATATCTAATCTAGAAGAAAACAAATTTTGTGCAAAAGTAGTTGTATGAAGTTTGTCAAATAAGCAGCATGAATATTTATTTACATCAATAAATCATAGTTTTGATATTTAAGAAGTCATAAAGCATGTTTATTTGCTTAAACTTAAATTAACTGTATCTTGCTAGTATGATTATCTGTAACTTGAAGCTTCAAAGTATCTAAAGGTTTTCTACATTATTTATTTAAATATAATATTATTAGATCCTCTTATATAACTATAGTCACAAATACCTATTTCAATATTCAGACTTAAATTATACATTTTAAATATGCTAACCTTTTCTAAAATTAAATATAATTTTTTCAGAAGAAGATGGCTTTGGTAGAGCAAATGGTGTTTCTAATTCTTCTGATGGATAATCCAGAAATCTATATTCAACAAATAACAGTTTCACATTGGGATCACTTAATACAGAAGCTCCTTCATAAAACTGAAGATGTGACAAAGTAATTACAATAGTATCATTACTCTGAAAATTTTAATTTTAAATGTTATTATAATAAAATTAATTTTTCATATTAAAATTAAAATAATAAATATTTACCCGTGAAGGAGAGCTTTTTGAATTTAATTTAGAAACTACAATATCTTCATTATCAGTTTCATCTGCTGATTCTGAATTAACTATTTAAAATATTAATCATCTCACATTTAATATATTTGTGATGGAAAATGCATATTCAATAATAAACATTATCAAATTATGTATGTACTGTACATATATATATTCAAACATACATACATAATTTAAAAAATGTATATATTAATAATTCTTTTTTAATTTAAATTATTATATACATAATTTAAATTAAGAAAAATAAATTATTAGAAACTGTGATAATCCTGTCATTTATTGTGATTTTAAAACAAAGTATATCTAGTTCATTATCTATTCAACAAACAAGTTTTTGATTACACAATCTTACATAAAAAGTTAAAGAATATTTCTAGAAATATCTTGAAATGTAATTAATATGATTCCAGTTTTTTTAATACCACTACATTTAAGCATCCAATTAAAATTAAAATTAAATCAGGTTTTATTATTTCCTTGATAAAAATTTTATTCATGATATGAAAATTTATGCATATATATTTATGAATACCATAAAATGTATGACATTAAAATAAAATTTTAGATAATTAAAAGATCACTTATAACAATTTTTTTTATTAAAGCAATTGAAGTTACAAGTATTTATTAAAGAAAATAAATATTTATTGTTATAAATAGATGTACTATTTATAATATTAAATTTTACTATAAAAATTTCCAATTTTTCATAAATATAAAGACTTTTATAAAATATTTTTAACCATTATAAAGTAGACCAAATTGATTAATTAACTGGATTCTTTTAAGACAGTTTGCTTTAGAAGAACAAATTTACTCACTTTCAAACGAAACTTGTTTGGAATGTTTAGGAGATTTGATTTCAACCTGAAATAACCATGATTTATGTTAACACAAATTTCTTTAAACTTAATTTTTAGTACAATTGATCTATTTATTAAGAGTTAATTAAAATAGAACAAAATGTAGTTGTGCAGTTGACATGAATCCAATTAGTTCAGATACTAAAAAAAGATAGCAATCTTCTAACAGAATGTTTCATTTAAATACAAAAAATTATATTAAAGAAATCAAAATATCTCCACTAATTTCTGTTGTCATATCTTTTCTATATTTTAATTGTTTTTATCTAAAAAGCTTTATATAATAAACTACCTTTAAAGTATTTCCTGTTTCTGTTTCTTTCTCTTTATCTGTTTATATAAATGAACATTAGTTAATTAAATTACTAAATTTTATTCTATTCCATAACAAAAATATTCATTATTGTTTTATATTTATTACATATGTATTTTTATTTATAAATATTTAAGTAATTACAAATAAATATTTATAAAGTTTTATAAAGATATCTTACCTACATATGAATCTTTTTTATTTGTATACTTGGGAGATTCTACACTTGGCAAAGTTTGAAGAGATTTTCGAGGCATAACTTTTGGTTTTTCTTTAACTGGTGTTAATTCTGGACTATTTTCTGTTTGTTCTTTATGTACCTTTAAAATTTCAATGCCTTTTAATTTTGTTTGTTCTAAAATGTATTTATAAATATATGAAATATTTCGATTCATATGGTTTACTTTTTCTGGTGATGTATTAATTGGATGAGCTGGAGATATTTCTTTTCTTTGATTAATTGTTGATTTTCTTTTATCATTACTTAATACATCTTTAACTGGTGATTTAATCTTTTTCTAATTAAATAGAAAAATATAACACTGTATTTAAATACTAAATTTAATATTTTAACTCTTTCGTTTCAAAATTTAACTTTAATTTTAAATTTAATTTTTTAAAAATGTTTATATACTGATAATAAACAAAATACTTTACTATTTTTGATTCTGTATTCAAATTTTTAGGGTTTATATTTCAATTTTACTTAACTAAAACTATTAATAAATAGTTTATTTATTTTTCTTTATTGGCAGCATAAAATCAGTTTTACAGAATATACATCAATAAAGTAGAGTGGTGCNTTTGTATGCAAAAATTACTTGGATATTATTTTTCTAAAAATATCGTGGGAATAAGGTAGGTTGATACAGAAACTATTTATCGCACATGTACTGTATATGAGCTTCAAAATAAATAAATAAATAAATAAAAATAAATTTTATCAAATGATGAGATCAGCCGATTAATTGTATCGTGTACAATATTTTATACCCCCAAGGAAAATACTGTAGGTCTATGGTAAAATCAATTTCGTTTTCCCACAGTTAAACTTCGCCACTGATTACTGTCGTGATAACTTTAACATGATCTTCTAATGACAGCACTTTGCATTTCTTTCGTTTTTCAGACAATTTTGAACAAACTGAAATGAATTTCCTTTGTTGTTAGACTAATTCATTAACACTGCACCTAATTTCAAAGGTAGGAGAAGTGCCTGAGGTGGGTTCGAACAATAGTTTAGACTAATTCATTATATTAGGAGGAGAAGACATTGAACAATAGTTTAGACCAGATATATTCGTGGAAGTGGTCACTTATTACAGTTGTTGTATGTTGTTTCAGACCAAAAATCGATGTCCATGGTCGTGTTACACAGGTGGTTGTTTAATACAGGTAACTTATACGAAGACTCTATGGATAAACTATTCAGTGCCAGAAATTTTTGTCTGTTTTGACAGGTGCCCATCGAATGCAGGTGGTCACCTAAGCAGTTGTCACTGTACTTGGATTCAAANTCTTTAATAAATGATCTTTGTTCTTTCAACAAGGAAATACTTTTATGTTAGCTATGCTAGTTATTTGATCAATTACAAACTAATTTGATAGTTAAAATTTTTTCTTTTTATTCTGTTTGAAATGCAAATTTTAATTTATGTTTTTAAATTAAATATAAGCAACATAAAATCTTATTAAAATTATTATTAAAAATTCAATTCAAAATGAAATTTTCAGTTAACGTTCAAATTAATGTGTCAATTTCTTTTATAAAATTAATTTATTACATTTAAATTTAATATTGAACAATAACAAGGTTTGCATAAAACTGAAAACGTTTTAAAATGTTTAAAATGATTTAAGTTTAAAAAAAGTTTTTACCTAATAGATTAGCTTATTTATTATTTTATAGTTTAATTAATTTAAAAGTATAAAATGATGTTTAATTATTATTTATAAAATATGAAAATTAAAAATTTTATCAAAATTATTTTCAAACTTTTACTTAAAACATAATATTTTTCCAACAGCATAAATAATTTTAATATAAAAATCCAAAACTATATATACTTTTTATACAGGCTTATTTAAACAAAAAACAGCATTATATAATTAAATATTTGTAAGTTCAATCAATAATTTGTTTTAATTAATTTGTGATATATGAATCAAAATAACCTGTAACATATGTGTCACCAAAAATGGTTTTTGGTAATAATTCTCTCTGACAATCACAACTGTCAATCAATTTATCATCATCCATAAGCTTATGAAAATACTTTTCATTTTTTATTTTATTTTTTCAATTCTTTTTAAAAACAATGAATTCATGAGTATAATTAAGTCTCAGTTGTCAGGATGAGAGATGCATCATTCCCTAATTGATTTTACCTTCTAGCATTACTATACATTTTCATATAGACAAGCAAGTATCAAAGCAAGCAAGCAATATGTATCAAAGAAAAATATAACATACCAGAGGTATAAACTCACATAATCCTACTTATGTGAAATATTAAATTGTCTGAGCCAAAATAAGCACTTACAACAAAGATATTTCTTATTGCTATAACATATATAACATTGAACATGTATTAAATGCATACATACAGCTTCACTAGACTAAGATAAATTATTTAAAGTATAAAGAAAAGCTGTATTTTATTGAACACAGATTTGATATGCTTTCGCCATTATATAGAAAGGATATATGTGCCATGGTGTTACTATTCATGTGAAAAAGAATTTAAAATTTAAAATATTTAATTCAAATTATGAACTTTGTTTATCTATTAGTAAATTATGGTGACTAATAGATACAGTTTTGATTTATATGCTATAGACCAACAACAAAAATTAGATTTGGATGCATGATACTCCTGGTCTATACCATAATAATAAAAATAAAAGCAAAAAAGAGAAAAAATTTCTCCATTTAAAAGTTATTCAGAAATCTTACTCACCATAAATGAATCTACAATATTTTTTTGAAAATCATATGCAGAATGCCAATATATTGCAACATCTATTGTGCCACAATTTTTTCCATCTGTCTATTAAACAATAAATTTAATTAGATAGAGTACCTTCATTATTGTTTTATTTATGGATCAAATATTTTTAAAGTTAAAAATTATTTAACAAAAATCAATTACATTTTTTAATTCATATATCCCTTGTATTGGTTTGTTCTGAGTAAGAGGAAAAAGTGAAATTTGTGCTCTTCCTAGATATGAAGATGGCTCTAAATCTGTATCATCAAATACATATATTTCCATATTCTGAAATAAATTTATAAAAATTTCTTATAATTAAAAAAATAATAATACATTATATTTAATTTAATTCTGCTTGATTTTAAATATATATAAATTATAAACCAAATGGTTTCATAACAAAGCCTTATTGTTTTAGATTAACTGAAGTTATAATTTCAATGTCTAGCCACACAGTATTTACATTTGAAGAAAGATATTGAAGTCGTNACTGTACTATTTTACATGCGATTTTTTGTTACGTTTAGTCTTCATTAAGTACTTAAGTGTATTAAATTAATAACATTTCAGACATTGTTATAAATATTTTTATATATTTTATAACAGAAAAATTATAACAAAATATATATAAATAAAAAACAAAATTATAAAGTTTCCTATTAAAACTTCATAATCCATGACTCAAAAAAGAAGACAAATTGGTAATTTTTAGTGTATTGTTTAATTTCAATAATATTTTATCAACCTGTAATTATTACTGAAACTAAATAAACAAAATTATACTAAATAATTATCTATTTAGCATAAACACAGTGTACCTTCAATTTTACAAACTAATTTGGGGAAAGGGGTGTCTGCCATTTCTGAAAGTTATTAAATCAAATTATTATTATGACACATAAGATATAAATAACAGAATAATATAATGTACTGTACAGTACATTGAGTAATTTATACTCATTGATTGTCAATCTAAGCCTTTTTAACATGCTCTATTTGCAAATAAAAACAATTTTAAATATTTACTATGGAACAAATTTTTGTCCATTAAATCAGATTATAAAATGGATTAAAGCAGAGCACCAGGAGTGTACTGTATTCCTCTTAGGAATGATAGATTCCAAAGGGACTTAGTATATATTGGCTCAACTATACATTCAATATGTAAAAGGGTACATGAACATCAATATGATCTTGTTAACAACAGGCATACCACCGCCCTGTCCACAAACGCCACAGACCTGGAAGTACATGTGGACCTCCAGAACACCAGATTAATTAGGCATGTCTTTCAAATAGACCATATCCGCTTGGAAAATTTATAAAGGCAACTCTATTAACTTTAAAGACTGCGAGATGGTGGCGCATGTGTGGAAGTACCTGTAAGAGAAATTCGAACAAAGTCAATCAACCACATGAATTTTATATATTCAAAGTTTAAAGTCAAGCATCATTGTTCTAACATTCCAATTTTTGGAAGTCAGTTTTGTTAAACACCTGAGGCAGGCCTTGGTGAAGACCGAAAATGTTTGAAAATTACGTTAAAGTTCAATTACTGGTTATAAAGGGATTTACTATCTTATTTAATCAATATGTGATAGTTAAATGATTATATCATATATAACATATTCAATCCAACTCAAATAAGTAATTAAAAAATAGCATTGTTACTATAATATACAGTGGGTGATCGGTTAACAAACAGTTCAGGTAGCAAACAAATTGGATAATGAACACTTTCGCGAAAGATTTTTATGATTGGACAATGAACACATGTTCAGATAACAAACACTTTACTGAACAAACATAAAAAGAAGCAACGGAAAATAACAAATACCAATTGATTTTCACTTGTCTTCAGGTAACAATTCAAAACCTTTCTGAGCGCGGGAGACATCAACATTGACGCTCAACCCAATACCAATCAGATAGTATTCCTCCAAATTTTGAAACTCTCCCTCATAATTCCATCTTTTTGTTTACCTTTCTGACAAATAATTTTTTATAGTCTTTGCATGACTGTTGGACAGGCACTTGTTAAGTTTTGCATCGAGTTTATTTACGAAACTTTCACCGTTTATTTACGAAAGTAAATAAACAATGAAAGTTTAACTGTCCCATCAGATATTAACATTTTAATTCCAAATTTCAAATTTCATCCAGGCCTTTCATTTAAATAATTTTTCGTGGGCTAATTGATTTCTGTTCTCTGAATTTTTGTAAGTGCTTTTCTGAACTTTTTATTTAAAAAAAAAACTGATATTATGGAGCCTAAAAAGAGGAGTGTCAAGAACTATGCTCACCATAGAAACCAAGTAAGAAATAATAGCCAAGGTAGAAAGTGCACACAAGTTGTCTGATGTTGCTAGGCAGTATGGCTCGAACAGGTCTACAGTAGGCACAATCTTAGCTATGAAAGATATATCAAGAAGTCTCAAGCTGCTAATGGAGTAATAAAAATCACATCTGTAAAATAAAGAGCATTTTAGAGCTCATAATGGAACCTGAAACTGATCTGACGACAGAAGAACTCCAAGAACTCTCAAATGAAAAATACCAAGAAACTCAGCGAGATGTGTTTCCTTTTGAAAAAGAGGAAGACAAAAGAGGACCAATGTCAACATCTGCTACTAAAAACCTTTTGGAGAAGTGGGATGATGTCAGAACAACGATCATCTAAGTGGCATCCAAACCAGAATACGGTTAATGGGGTTGGGATCTCTACAATTACAACACTATTAATCACTTCCGAAAAATCCTGAAGAAAAGAGTAAAGCAATCGACATTGGACAGATTCTTTAACACCCACAAACGAAAAAAACATAACTAATAAAAATGCAAGACTGCATATATATGTATTTTTACTATTACATATAAATAAACATAGTAAAAAAGTATAAATTTTTTATTTTTTGTAGTCTCCGGAACGAATTAATCAAATTCCCATAAAAACCTATGGTAAATCGATTATCGGTTAATGAACAATTCGGATAACAAATACTCTTGGAATGGATTATGTTCATTAACTGATCACACACTATTATTCATTATTGTATAAATTTAGTCAGTTTATAAATATAATCTGAATTAAAATATACTTACTAAATCAGCTGTTTGTATTTTATATTTGTTGGTTCCATATGCAATATCATTAAGTTCTCTTTCCAATTTCTGAGTAAAAATAAGAAAAAATAGAATAAAACTGTTGTGTAGTTTAAAATTTTATTTTACAGTAACTAAGTTATATTAAATTTTCATATATNACTTATTAGAACATAAGATAATAAAAGTTAATCCCATTTATTTATTTATTTTATAAATTTTTCTAACTTATTCATAATGCTGATAAAAATCTTAAGACTGAATAAATGAATTTTTATATATACAAATCCAAAGTTTAAACAAATTTTTGCACTATGCATTATGAAAGATAAAAAATACAGCGTAGTTAGGAAGTAAGTTAGTTCCATGATTTTTGTTTCATTTTACTTTTATTGCTTTTATTTGGGGTATTTTTCTATTGTTACTTGGGGAGACTCATCCTGTCTATATAGTATTGCCTGTTATACTTTTTAATAATAAATATAATGAAGAACAAAGAATAAATTGATGGGTGGATAGTCAAGACAATTAAGGTGCCAACCTACTGGCTTTGAGTGCCACAGGATCAAATCTAAGTAATCAATCCAAGAAAATCCAGAAGCTGATATGTCTTGGATATGTCAGACCTCATTCTTTACCCCCCAGTTGCTCTCATTGTGAGCCTGGTCAAGCACATGATGGTATAATTCAAAAGGGACAAAGAGAGGGAAAGTAAGGAAATTTGCATTTAACAAAAAAATAAAAAGTTAGCACAGGTACAACAAACACAATCAATAATAATTTGTGAAAGTGAATACTGATTGTAAACAATTAAATTCTAATTTTTTTAATCATTATTTTTTTTTTATATTTAGTTTTAAGATTTTATTTATTCCAAATAAGAAACTTTATACACATTTAGTCTAGATGACATTGCTCTTAAAAATATAGTATCTCAAATTAACTACTTTTCAAAACAATTTGAGATTATATTAAAAAAGAAGTTATCTTAATCAAATTGTTAAGAATTAATAAAAAGAAATGTCAAAGACAATGGTAGAGATATTTATTTATTTACTGCAAATGAGTAATTATCATTTCAATATACAATTTTTCAATAATGAAAAATATAAATAAGGAAAACAGTACAAAGTAATGCAACATCACTTCAAATAGAAGAGAATAAAGCATGAATGATAAAATAGAGTAATGAGTCTCTCTCAATAAGTATTGAGAAGTAAAATTTTTCACGAGATGACAAGCAAGCAGTTATTGAAATGAAAGAATTTTTTTTTTCAGTTTTTCATGTATCAACTTGTAAACAATAGTTGTAAAAATTAGAATTTAAGTTTAAATTGTCATTCTTGTTTATTGGAAACTTTAAGAATAAGTTATCTCACAATTTGTATTAATAAGTAAAAAAGTTTATTAACATTGATATCCAATCACTATTACAAATGTAATTTCTTCTGTTATAAAGCATGTTTCTAATGCAAACATTTGTTCATATATGACAGATAAGTAGGGAATTAAAAAAAAAATCACAAAAATGCAAAATCATGTTAGTTCATATACAATTTTTACAAGTTGACACTGCTTTGTAATATCAAGTAATACTACATAAATAAAAAAACTCACCACCTAACTAAACATAGTTCCCCACAGAATAATACACAAAATCCACATACCCCCCAGTTTACTTATTTACCTTGTCCAACAAATATGTTTAGTGTTGTTCTCTTGAATTTGTGCACTTTTCTTGATACAAATATTTAATATAGTATCCCAAACATTAGTCAGAATCGTGGTTATAAGAATTCACATAATGAATAAAAATAAACTAAGCACTGAGGAGTTTGATATAATAAAACATTTTGTAGGACTGTACCAGTGGTGGCTCTAATCTGGAATTGCTAATTCTCGAGTAACAATTACTACTTTACATAACAAACTATTTGTATATACTGCATTCATAAAAAATATTTTTTAATTTAATTAAAATAAGTGAATTGAAGATTCTAAATTTTTATCAATTTCATATTAATATAGAGTACTCTGCACTTCTGCTCTAATCCATTATCTATCATGCTATGCAAGCATACAACTGCAATAACACTGCTAAATAGTGAAGTGCTGTCTCAAGCATTTTCATCATATAAAATGCGGAGGAAAAACACAAAGGGCTGTTCTCTGAGTAGGAAATCACACTGCACTCTGTTTAACAGTGCTGTCTCAGTAGGGCCCATAGCACACACCTGCCCTAATAGAATCATTTTTGTTTGGTACTGGTTTTGATTAAAAACAATAATTTTAATTGTATATAATCAGTTATGTAATTACAATGTAATATAAATCAAGATGTTATTTTGCAATTTTATTTTTCTTTGAGGGTGATGCAGTTCTGCAGTGCTTATCACAAGCTACCACTGAACTGTAAAATTTTTAGAATTCTGCCCTAACTCTATTTTCCCTATAAATCCTGTTATTTTTATTCTGTGAAATTCCACAAAGTCACATAGAAGAAACAATCGTAAATAATCTTGATTTACTAAACTTTTGTAAGGTGTATAGAATTTTTCAGTATTAATAAATAACCAAGTTAATTTTTTGTGCTTTTTATTTATTTAAAAATTTAGATAATCTAAGGATTCATTGTTTCTGCCAGTTATGCAAACTGATTCATACTGCAAAGTCCAGATATGACATTCATTCAAGTTCCATTAGAGTTTTAGATAAGTGGTATTATATATGATTAGACATACCTAGAATGTATGTAAGCAGGGGCACCCATACACTGAGGCACATGCCCCATTTTTGTCTGGGTAGCCCTTTTCCTAATCTCAAGAGGGACCCAAATTTCATTATCAACAAACAACAGAAAATTCAGGACTTCTAATCTATTCTGAAAATATAAAAGAAACTAATGAATGATTTGCTCATTGTCCCATGTAACTATTTTATATAGTTATTTGTTCATTGTATGTTTACTAAAATCACATTCCTTGTTTTCGAGGCCACGTTAGCACTGAATGCAGCTAGTACCACCATGTAGGAGAGCTGATCCAACATTGAATCATTGATGCTCCTTGCATAATGTCTGAAGCTTCTTGCATAATGTATGGTGCTCTTTTTTATAGCTTGTGCCCTCTCTTTTTGATAGTCTGCAAGTGCCACTGTATGCAAGAATATGATAAGAATTTTTATATATATCACAAATTAAAATAAATAAAAAAATTGCTTATTTGTTCCTGATAAAAATTTGCTTTATCCAATATTACACATAGAATATTTCTACATATTCCAAATTGTCAATCTGAAACTAAAATTAATGACATAACATATTACACCAACAAAATCAAAATAACAATGCAGAAACTTCCAGAAGTAGCAGCAGTATAGTCCTAATAACTTCATATATACCTAGTTTAAACGATAACATAACAAACTAAGGCAAATTAGAACCATTAAAAAAAAGGTTAATTTCCACAACTTTCCTATTTTTTTAAAAGAATCATTATAAGAAAAAAATGTCTCTAATTGTTTACATTTTTACATCATAGATAAATATTATATCTATTGCACAATAAAGAAAAATAACTGTAAACTATTCTATTTGTTGTAATGATAAAACCAATCCTCTATTGACTTCATAGTATTACTTTATGATAATTCTCTCTAGGGTAATTGTACATTTTAAAGACATAGTTTGATCCATTATATCTTAGCCAACAACTCTCCTGTAAAATGTCTAAATCCAACAAAAGTTACTCAGCAGGAAACTTAAGCACTGTTTCATTTATTATTGCAAAGTAAAATGTCATAGTATGTGAATGGAAATTCCTCATTCTTCAATTTTACAACATTGTGAGAATCAGGATTTAGGGGCCCATTTTTTAAAAGAAATTAGCGATAAAACATTTTATTTTCGAATAAAAATTATTTTATTTTGGAGAGAAGATTTTAACAAAGAAAGGATGTAACAGTTGTTTCCGAAAAAAAAGGAAGGGAAGTTGAAGTTCCTTTAGACAACCAACTTGCAAAATGATTCAGATGCGGCCTTTGCACATGTTACTTGGCCACCTGAAGAAGCCGCTATAAAAGGGCTCTTTCCCACCATTCGAGGCAGTTCAACGAGGTATGAACATGCCATAGGAAGCAGTCTATCAAGAAGGGAAGTTTATCATAGCATATAGAGAACAGCCACCTAAGAAGTTGGCTATATTTTACTAGTGCATACACAAATGCTATGATTCCAAACTTCTCCCATATCCCGAATGGAAAGATAATCAAAGGAAAAAATAAGCTTCAATTTGTGAAGGTAGAATAAAATGTTAGATTGATGTAAACTCTCTCTCACACATATAGGTTGATACAAACAACATCGCTAGACCCGATACATAATAAAGCTAGACACCAACCAAATGCCGAAATTCTATCACTTACCTCTAGAACCAAATTGGTTACGTAATTCATTTAGTAATTAGCCTTAAACTAGCCCAATAGAATTTCGGCATTTGGTTGGTGTCTAGCCATATAGGTTGATTTACATTGTTAGATAGTTGATTGATCTCTTCGCGAGATAGGTTATTGTAAATAATAGATATTTGTAATCTCATCATTTGTATTTTTATTCATTTTCTTTTCATTAAATATTTTGTTATGTAATTTAAATATGGTCTCATTAATGTCTAAAATTCATGCCTATGTCCACTCCACTTACCCATGTCCCTCCCACTCGATATTCCTCTAAAAATTAGACATAAGTGTGCTTAATGCTATAACTAAGCTGGTGTCAGGAAAACAACCTCCAGGGGACCTTACGAACTCTTGGTCTTAAATAAACATATTAGGAAGTCATCCATTGACAAAGAGGTTGGATCGAAAGATCTAGTGCAGAGTAAGTAATCATTGGGATTTACTCTTGACCCCATGCATATCTCACAACATTGTAAAGCAAAGTATGTGTCTTAGTGGTTTAGTTGAGTTAAACACACAAAAATCAGACAATGTTTTAGCAATATCATCCATAACTGCATAGCTTAACAACTCTTTTCAAATAAAGTACAGTTGACCCTCCTATAATTACGGTC